AGTATTTTTTTCTGAATTCTTTAAATTTTACTGAAATCTATGGACAGTAAATTTAACAGTGGGACAAGCTATTGTTGATGTGTTAATTCCCCATGCTTGATGTCTCACTTTACCGTATTTATTAGGATTTGGCTCACCGTCCCGCTGTTTCGTAAGCCTGAAGCCTGTGTACACGATTCTTTATATTCAGGTACGTTAGATAATGGTTTATATTTCCACATTTAACAATACGAGTATTGATACAAGATAATTCATTAATTAGCTATCACTGACATATCTCTTAGTCATTGACACTATGTTTTCATTAAACAAAACTTTTTCTCATATAATTAGTAACCTCAAGATTATCATTAAAGGAGGAGAATTTTTACAAGCCCTTCCACTTTCTTTACATCCTTGAGGTTATCTGGTAATAAAAGTGCTTGTCAGCGTTAAGATCTCATTTGTGCAACATTTTTATGTGCATAGACAATAAATACATCAACATAACAATTAATGTGAGCTTTTATGCTTAGCAATATTAATTTAAGGAGAATTTTCTTATAACACTTTTTTTTTTCATATTACACTTATTGTGATGACTTATGAGATTGACTTATGAGATCATCGACATCTCTATTCATTTCAATTTCGCAAATCTTTTGTTCGTGGGATATGAAAAATCATTAGGTAAGGATATATTTTATCCATGAACATGGAAATTTTTTATTTTGAAAGTTGTTGAAAGGATTTATTCTTGAAAGATAATAAAATTAACAGTAGGTATTCAAACCATTAACCTATGAAATTGAAAACTCAAATAAAAACGGTAAATTTAAGTTAAGTTATATTAGATATAGGAATTTAAATAAAAACGTATTAAAACAATATTGATCTCCTCTGATAACAATAAGACTATTTATTATAATATATATATTATCTTTGAGTTTTCTTTTCATATGTAATACTGATTTTATTATTTATTTTATGGCTTTATAAGACATTTTAAGATACGAAACTTTTCATAACGCTCGGCTGTACTCAAAGTACAAAATAAATCAATTTACGAAAACGGGTTAATGACAATTCATAAAAATTAAACACTGACAATTATATATTTTTTATTATAATGGAAGCCATAGATAATGTAACAAACAGAAGCGACCTCATTTCTACCTGAGTGCTAAAATACATAGTAATACGAAAGCTCCTGACTCAGAATATTAGTCAGAGCCCAACACGTGCTCAGAATACCTCCCCGTATAGACATTGGTATCAATTAAAATTATCTTTTATGGTTATTGTTGGTACAATTGATTGAGATTGGTTATAATAATGCCAGTATTGTTTTTTATTTTATGAGACATATTCGGTTGCCAATTTGCAACCTACTGATAGGGCTGTATAAAATTATTTTTGATCCATTTATATAGATATTCACATAATAATTAATGCACTTTAGTTATTACAACGTTTAATTGGTTTTACTTTAAAGCATGTTGTTAAAATAAATGCAATTTTTAGTGAACTTCATTAAGAAGTAAACATTTCAAAAGCCATAAATAGAAAGACGTAACATCAAATCATAACAATATCCTGTCTTCTATTTTGAATGCAATATTTGAGCTCTCCGAATGAGTTTAATAAAACAATGAATACGTCTGTTAGATATTTTGTCTTATATTTAAATTAGACAGTTCTACCATTCTTTATTACTAAGCAAATTTTTCCTGGAAAAATGATAGGTTCAAGAAATATTTTTGGTAGGAGAAAGAATTACAGATGACACACTTGATTAATTTAGGACGGAGCAGTTAAATTCAATTAAATAAAATATATGTAAGTACTTTTCACTCTTTGTACATAAATAGTCATCTATATAAAAAAAATTAAGGTATTTTAAGGAATAAATAATTAATTATTTAATTAGCTTTTATATCAAATAAAAAAATTATCGATCAATGTTATCCTAAAGAATAATAAATTACAATACCTACTACAAAATCAATGCATCTTAATTCAGACAAATTCATTTTGCTCGGAAACTATTAAAAATTATATTAGTCCTTAGCTATCTTCACACAGAGAATGTATGTACAAATACCAAAAAATCGCAATTGTTAATAAAAAGACCTAATAATATATAAACAAAAAATAGTTATATAAGCAACTTAATTAATTACATATAACTACAAATATGAAAGTTAAAGAATAATGATGTCTACGATTTTCTCGTACTCGTTTAAATTAAACTAAGTTTTTCGGGATACCACGCATTTTTTATTATTGTCTTACTATGTAAAAACTACATTTCGGTTTCTTTACAGCAACCGTGGCCGTGATCACGCAGACAGCCTAAAACATACAACTAATTTATACTTGCATAGAAACCTCAATAACATTAGTAAAGAAACAAATTCACGGAAATACTACACGGAAATCAATACGAGATAAATTTTAACGAAATCGGTGGCCGGTAGTTTATTTATATCAACTATTTCTCAATAAGGCCCAGCTAATTTAGATTACAGCTAACAAAGAACGCGCCCACGCATCTAGTAACAATTAATTAGTTCGCGGAATTTATTGAGTAAATGTAATTCTGTTGCACATTTACTATTCACTGTGATAGCTTTGTGAGCGTATTCTCAAAACGATACATTATTCACAGTTTTGTTATGACTTTTCTTACCAAATACACAGAATGAAAATAGAAAAAAAACAGACGAAAATAAAAGTTTCTATATTTATGACGATTATGATTTCAGTTTCTTCAAAATTTCAATAACGTGGGAAAATCGCCAACTCTGAAAATTAAATGAAAAGTCACTGACCTGGAAAAGCATTACGATTTTCTTCTATAAAATTTCCATAGATCATATTTTTGTAACCATAAAGGCATTAATATGTATAATATAGGCACTGTTAATAATAATAGGATCATTATAACTCTGGATAAAACAGAACTAAGTATACTCAAGTAAGTTTGTCCACTAGCGCTATAAAGTTATAATTGCCAAGTTAGTAGTTACACTTCGTCCCTTCCGTATCCGGATTAAGTTACCGCAAATATTTGGTTAGTGACTCCAGAATAAAGTGAGGTCAAAAGCTGTGTAATAAAATTTAAATGAGGGTGACGTGTCATTCAACAAAAGTACATTACATTTCGAATAAAACAAATGCACATCTATATAAAGGATTAGTTATTAGATAATATATTACCAAATTCAATTTAATGTTACGCAATAGATTCTAATACAAATGATGTAGTAATCAATTAATATTTTATTAAAATATATGATAGTGATTGACACACAATGAAACTGGAAATTGCACGCAGGATGTATAAACACTGCTAATTGACTTTGGGACAAAAGGAATAATCCTGTCTCTTTGACGAGACACATAAAAGTGCACGTGCAGTGCACGTTGATCTTTCGTTGTTGAAGATTTTGACAGACGTTAACTTGAGATCTGACTGATTTTATTTTTCTGTATATTGATCTTATAATACATATTAGAATACTCAAAATAAACGCAAATTTAATGTAATTCGGTTTTTTAGGTCATAATAAATAGTGTAAATAAATACAAATTAAAGTGCTGATATCTAGTGGATTTTTAAGATGAATAAGATCTATTAAAAATCTACGATAATATTTAACAAAAAATATTTGTTATTAAAATAATACTTTATGCAAAAGTTTTGAATATACGTATGTACTTTTATTGCAAATATAAATTATAATGGCAAATTACACATGTGTCGGAAATGATTTGTCATAACATATTTAGATAAAATAGTGAATGGATTTATGTTTTTCCTTATATAATATTTTTTTAATACATTACATTTTTAAATTGTTTTTAATTAACATTGCTATTGTTATAATAATAGTTAACAACTTCTTTTTCTTTTCGACTGTTTTTAAATAAATCGTTCAATATACATATATGCTTACACATTATAAAGGTTGTGCGTTCGGTATTTCTGCATGATAAGATCTATTTACCAACAAAAAGAAAATTATTCCCAAGATATTAAATATTTTCCTTATAAAGCACAACATGTTATTCAATTGTAAAATAAGAGTTTTAATATTTTGTAAGTGTTTTTAATGGGTTGCAATAAGTCAAGTTCAATCACGAAAAGGCAAAACAATTTTTTTTTGCGTGCTTCTTTTAGCTGCTATCAGTATAAATTTAACTTTATGCTGTAATATAAAGGTTTAAATTTGAATGTTTATAAGTCTGATAATTTATCATTATCAACCTACATCGGAGTACAGGGAGCATTAGTCCGGGAGGCAGCGGCTTTTTAAACAAGTCATTTTATGCCGGCTGATGTTAATATAGAAAACAGAATGCATGTGGCTTATGACGAAATCGATCGTCAGCTGGTCCAGTTGCGGTGGATGCGAGATTGGGAAGCTGCGGAATACGTTAAAAAATAAAAATCTGAAAAGTATTTTATACCACATGAAATTTTTTTCACGTGTTATTGATATTGATTACAATTAAAAGAAAGTAGTCAGCTGCACGACTAAGGGTGGATTATGCGTCAGCTGAGCGTGCGAACTAGCCAAAAATAAAATAAAATAAAATTATTTTATGCCGATTGAATTTTTTTTACATGATTTTAGACATTCACAGAAACTTGATATTGATAATCAGCTGCATATATAGTGGGGGAAAACACGTCAGCTAGAGCAGGAACGTATGACTGCGCGCATATATCTCTATGACTCGCGGAATTTTCAATGCTCCGACTGACGCCTTTTTCCCCAACGGACAATCAGCTGACGAATATTTTCTTGTATCTATATATTAACACTATAATATTTATACATTCCATGTCGTCTTTTAACAATTTACCCAAGATTCATAGGAGTGAAGCGGTAACAACATTAATATGATTTCTATTAGTTTGTTATATTCGGATTAATTGAAACGTAACTTTATTCGATTATTTTTATTAAAATTAACATAAAAATCTTAATATAAATCAAAGAAATATTTTTTTATGAATCATCTTCCTTTGCATCACTGTCGTCATCACAATTATCGATGCTTATGTCACACACTCCATCGTTCTCGGTTTCGTCGTCCTCTGTAAAAATATCAATCAATTAATTAACAAAATCATTTAAGTAAATATTATTTGCCAGAAATCAAAAGAAGAAATTTTTTTTCATACCATGTGGGTTCATGTCGAGATTAGTGAAGCTAGTGATGGATAGCGGCAATTGATCACCCGTAAACCATTTAAAATAATATTTTTCTTCAGATTCTTCCCATCCATACTCAGTTGGCAACAGGTCAGTTGGCATGGCACGGTGAGCATGGCTCCAAAGGTGGGCTATATATGCCGTTCGAAGAAAATGTTGTTGCAGTTCATCTTTACAGGGCGGGAACAACGAACCATCGATTCTTTTTTGCGAATTCAATGGATTGCAGTCATCGTTATTGCCATATGATTTGGTGAACGTCATCATACGAGCAACATTGATATCATCGACTCTCGTAAACGCATATAATCTGCATACACATATTCTTCCAGTGTTGCAAACAATTGATCCAGATTACAATTCGGTAAATTGGAAATGTCACACAATGCTTTAATGTAAGTTGGAGATTTTCGAAGAATTTGAAACGGTTTTCTCTTCCCTTTTCTGTAAAAAGCAGAATGGAAATCACAGCCCGTCATGGCATGAAATGCTGGCAATGCTGAACACAAATCTAGACCCAACGTTTGAGACAATTTGGTGACATTTATAAACTTTTGATTGTTTCCGGTCCCAACGTGCATCGAGATTTTCAAATCGGTCTGTATAGAATTCATGTTTGGCAACATAATTATTAAAATATCTGTATCTGAACAGCGAATAGTAACGTGAGCATCAGAAGTCAAGTGACAAACGTGAAAAACAATTTTGGTGTCAGCTTCTTCGTGACCTGGGCATGCCAACGATAACCCTGGTGTTCTTTGCACTTTGCCTTCACATACTTTATATTGATAGCATTGTAGGTAGTTGACCAATATTGTTTTGCTGCCGATGAATGGTGCCATATACTCGTTCGCCCCGTCATCAATTATGAACTCAACGAGTGCTTCTTTGAAGTAGATATTTTTCAATGCGTCCGCGAAATTTGATGGCCGTATTTGATCAGGTCCATTTATATGGAAACGCTGTCCTTTGGTTCTTTTTCTTAATGAGTGTTCGTTGTCGTTTATCGATGGAAATATATATCTATCAAAGGCAATTATTACAGTGTCAGCACTATTCGCAGTGAACACTTGCAACAACTTTTTTGATATGTTTTCAAAGGACGATGGTACGTCCCTGATTGAATGCATGATGAAAAATCCGTCATAAACAATTACGCAGGAACGTAGGTATAAATTTCCTCTGTACGGAAGACAATAAGCTGTAAGTTAAATCTTGGGTAAATTGTTAAAAGACGACATGGAATGTATAAATATTATAGTGTTAATATATAGATACAAGAAAATATTCGTCAGCTGATTGTCCGTTGGGGAAAAAGGCGTCAGTCGGAGCATTGAAAATTCCGCGAGTCATAGAGATATATGCGCGCAGTCATACGTTCCTGCTCTAGCTGACGTGTTTTCCCCCACTATATATGCAGCTGATTATCAATATCAAGTTTCTGTGAATGTCTAAAATCATGTAAAAAAAATTCAATCGGCATAAAATAATTTTATTTTATTTTATTTTTGGCTAGTTCGCACGCTCAGCTGACGCATAATCCACCCTTAGTCGTGCAGCTGACTACTTTCTTTTAATTGTAATCAATATCAATAACACGTGAAAAAAAATTCATGTGGAATAAAATACTTTTTAGATTTTTTTTTTGACGTGTTCTATGGGGTCTCATAGCAAACGCCCCCGCTGGTGCGTCAGCTGACCTTCACTTTCGTTATTAGAAAGAGCTTCTTCACTAGTATTGTGAAGTAAAGATCGGCATAAAAACACTAACCAAAATAGCCGCTGCCTCCCGGACTATTAGGTTATTTGTTCTTAGCTATTATACACTACAACTCTGGTTAAACAATTAGAAATTTACTAATTTTAAGCTTAGACTAATAATTATTGTAAGTTATTGAATCACACATGTCAAAATTTTTATTTTTTACTAGTTTTTGCCCGCGACTTCGTCCACGTTAGTTTCGTCATTACTAATATATGTATGTATAGCTGACCGGGCGAACTCTATTCCGTTTTAGAGGCCATTAATAATCAGGTTTCTCCTGTTACAATCGAACAGAATGATTGACATATTAGTTAGTTGTCAAATCTAATGTCAAAAAAAACGTTTGTATGGGAAATAGAAAAGGGCTGTTTTTATGGTTTTCCAATTCCAACAATCAATTTTTTTCAGCTTTTATACCTTCCCTGAACCTCCACGAACATTTCAAGACTAAGATAACATAAATCCGTTCAGCTGTTCTCGAGTTTTAGCGAGACTAAGGAACAGCAATCCATTTTTATATATATAGAAGATTACTATTATTATTATTATTTTTCTCACTACCTGCGACGTGGCGTGCGTAGGTACTGGCAGCCACAGAATACCAGCGTTGAAAGTCATGATAATGATTTTCAACATAAGCTGAGTGGCCTACCAATTTAGGCATCACGTTATCGTTGTCATTTTTTTTTATACTGTTTTTTATATGTTAACTGTGTATGTCTAAATAAAGATTTTTTGATTTGATTTGATTTGATTTGATTAGTGTTGGTGTCAGATAATAAAAATTATAGAATGTAGAAAACAAAAGTTAATACAGAAAGCTATTAAGTAGTGGTCAATTCCTGCTAATAGTTTCTAATAACATTTCGCTCAATCCACATCCCATGTGACTAGTTTATAAAATTAAAATTTATGTCTCGTAGTGGACACTATGGAGCCTAATTCTCGTTGAAATTAAACCCAAATATGTTATACTGCTTTAATTATTATAAACGTGTACAAAAGTTCGAGTGCAAAGGGAATGGGGGCATTTGACTAGGCGGTATGTATTCTTGAACTTCGTCAGAATCTGAAGAATCACTATCTTCTTGGGGTGGTGGCGTTGGCAACTTTTCAATGCCTTCGGGAATGTTCTTTTCGCTAGATAACCACCAAGGGCTCTCACCAGATTCAACATGTCGAATTCGTTTCATCGGGAAGTTTTTTTGATCGGAACCAGATTTGCTTAATTTGATACCATTAGGTAGTTCTGATTTATTACCAGTACTAGTTTGATCGCTATTAGACAGCCACCAATCTTTTCTTTCACCGGAATCTATTTGTCGAATTTTAAAATGGTAAAACTTTTCACTTTTATCACTATCACTAGAAGACTTCCTTGGAGGAGTCAACCTTTCAATTCCCTCTGGAATATTAGCACTGCTATCTAACCACCATGGTTTCTCATCGTCTGGAAAACAATTTGGTTTTAAAGTTCTCTTAAAATTGTTTGCTTCCGAAATTTTGTTTTCAGAGTAACTTTCCTGATTTCGATCTTGTTCCATATTGGTGTTTTCGAAATCTGACTCCAGCCACCTTGAACGCTCACCTGATTCTACATGTCGTATTCCTTTTAATGTGACGAATTCATCTTCATTGGATACAATAATGTTTTTGGTATTATTTTTAGATTTACTATTTTCGTTTTTTATATTTGGAGATTCTTTGAAATCAGCTTCAGAACTCTCTTTGCGAACGCTTTCTGAATTATCTTGATGTCTCAATTTAAAAAGATTCGTTACCGGTGCTAAAGCTCGAATCAAAAAGGATTTGGCGTCTTCCGTGCCTTCATTTTTATTTGGTGTCATTTGTTTTAATATTGGGTCAGTTTGTGATGGTGAGTTTTCCCCTTTGGAATTTCTAATTATGTCTTTTATGTTGGACTTTGATGTATTTTCGTCTTCACTAATTGATGATTGAGTGGATAAGGTGACACTTGTTTCTGGACTATTATTCTCCCTACATTTCGAATATTTTAATTTTAACGGACCTTTCTGTAAGTCACTAGATGATTTTGTATGGTTTATATTCTAAGAAACTTTCGCCTTTTGAAGTTTTTCGGTACCTTGATCTGAACTTGTAGAACTTGTTGATTTAGTTCTTTTTTTAACAACCTTTTTAGACGATGAATCCGAAGAAGAGTCCGTACTAGATTTTCGGACCTTATTTTTCTTATTTTTATTACTATTTTCTGATTTAGGAGGTTGGGGAGGTAATTGGTGACTATTAGTTATTGTGATTTCTGGAGATATTAACTCTGACGAGGACACAGCTGAAGAACTTCGTGTCTGTTTCAATGTGAGATTAACGTTTATAATTATTTCAGAAGTATCCTCATTCTTGTTTTCATTATTCTTTTCCTCAAATTCTGTTGCATTATTAGAAGTTTGTCCGTCATTAACTCTTTCATGTTCAGTTTGCGAGCTTAATATTTTGTTTTCTACTGGTTCCTTGCTTCTACTTCGACTACTTCTATCATTAGAGTTAGCATTACTTTCTCGTAGATTTGAATACTGCGTTGAGTATCTTCCCGCGTAACCGGTGTAGCTATTAACATTAGGTGAGTAATATGTCCAATTTGTCATACTAGTTCTACCAGTACTGCCAAATCGACTCGATCTAGTTGGATCATCAAGCCTATCCGATTGCATTTCTTTATCTACCAAGGTGGGTCTTTTCTTTGGACGTGAAATAATTTTTTCTATTGTTTTGGCCATATCCGCCCTTCTCATTCTCACATAAGTAGACGAACCTGGTGGCGTAGGAGACGTATGCCGTGTGATTACTGTAATAGTTTCAATATCTTCATTTGGCTCTATAACTATATCAGATCCATTTAATAGACAATCATTTTTAACAACCTCCTTCTGACTGTCTTCCTCGACCAGAACATTTGACATTGGGGCTTTAAGATTTTCGGTTTTATTCACATCAATTACATTAACAGGCGACACAGAAGGACGTTTGATTGGAGTAGGGCTTCTCAGATAACTCGATGTAGATAAACGATTTCCAATTGCATAACGATTTACATTAACTTCTGGCTTTACTTCCGAACGGGGTGATGGTCTTGTATAAGAGGATGCACGGGAATAGAGCTTGTAATTTGACACACCACTATAGTTCGAGGTCTTATCAGTCTTATTTGGAATGTCTTTGTCACGTTCAACAGGACTACCGTGCCTTTTTTCTTTAAAACTTTTTATGGGTCTTCTATCAGGACTAGAATGACGTGAAGTTCTACTAAGAGTATATTTTGATGTTGCTGAAACCGGACTGACATCTCTGCTTTTATTTGTATTAATTGTAGGTACTGACAGCTTGAGTGAATAATCCTTTTTTTCATATTTGGGAGAAGATTTTTCGGTAGCTGTTTTACTGTAGCTTGCATACCGATTTGCGATTGCTGATATTGGAGTTTCTTCTCGAGCAGATCGATCATTTACTATGGGTATACTTGAAGATTTGTAGGAAGGAGTTGTTGTGTACTTTGCTGTAACAGTACCTGCTCTCTCTGTAGAAGTGCTCGTATTTCTACCTATATCTCGGTTTCTGCCGTATGATGAAGTTTCATAATAATTTCTGAATGACATTATTAATGCAATAAAGATCCTTCCATATATCTCGTATAACTCGGTTTGTCCTGTGAGTAAGATGCGCGAGTGATGAAGGGCGGATGGCGACTGGGCGGGCGGAAGGTGGCGCGGGCGCATGCATTCCCACTGAGGATAATGTACATCGAAGGCAGCCCTAGTAGGTTCTTTTTAAATTTGGTTAGGTAGGGAGAGGTCAGAGGAGCTTGGACAGTGAAGGTGAGCGTATAACGCGCGTTAGATAAGGGGTAAACTTACACTTGGGTCGCAAGTCCCAGGCACTTTAAGCACTTTAAGTCAAATCCGATCGCTTTTAAGAAGGTACATTAATAAAAAAACAAAAACAAATTATAATATGATTAGTCGTCTTACCTTTGATACCAATTTTTATTTTTAAAGAATTTTATCTGATCTGGCTTCTATAATATTGGGATATCTCAATCGATGAGATAAACATTTTTTAAGGTGAAGAAGTCAATAAAGGTATCACCACTAACACTTCCTGTAAATATCTTTGAGGACAAAATAATTAATATAGCATCATTATCTTAACAACTCGATCCCGTCCAATGATTAAAAAGCTTGACGGCGACAGCATAAAACCTTCTTGTATCGGCAAAAAAGAAGATAAAAATGCCAATGCCATATTTGACAAGGTAATTTGCAGCTTATACCCTCGATACACGATTGGTATTTGCTTGTGAAATGTTTTGTATAGGATGTTTCAATGTGCTATCGATAGCCGTGTCGGACGCGTTGTCAAGATTTTCAAAGTTTTGACATTGTTGCGGTTGGGATGTCCGAATATCGAGTTCGGAATCGTTCGCCGCTTGAGGGGTGGATCGGATCGGATGATAATTCCTCCAATAGCAGGCGGCCGGTGATCCGCTCCTCGGGATCCGTGTTCGTGGCGGGTCGTATCGTCGTTTTAGAATGAAACCACAACTTGTTAGGTAATGGCGGCAGAATCACTTGGTTTGTTTGACCACGTGGTCCCTAGTCACTATCTTGAAAGCGCGGTTCTTCTTTGTTCGGGTTCTTCCCTGTTCACTGTTCACTGTTCACTGTTCTTCAAAGCGTATGAGATGTCTTCACGAGATCTGGCTGGTGACTACTGATGATGACTACTGATAACTGATGACTGGTGATGACGACTGATGATGACAACTGACGACTGATGACGACTGACTGACTACTGACGACTGGTGATGACGACTGACTGACTACTGACGACTGGTGATGACGACTGACTGATGACAACTGACTGATGACTACTGACTATTCGACTCACAGCGGCCGTGTTTTATAAACGTTGCGCGCGCGCACCTAGTACCGCTGTGAGCCAGCGCGGATGCCCCGCCCCCGCCAAGTGACCCTACCGCCGTTCGTTTATTGGTCAATAGGTTTATCTTAAGTTTGACAATAGTATACTGCGCTTTTGCAAGAGACGCTCATTAGGGATTTTTATTTACACGTGTTGCGCACCTGCAAGAGTCGCTTTCCTTTTATTAATTATACAATACAAATATTAACCTAATTCCTTATTTCTTACATTTCTTATCTCTTAAATCTATTATTAACTAAACATCAGCTGCGTCGCCGACAGACATATACATTCAATTATAGCCCCGTTCTTTTTATTTTTTAAAGCTATAAGGGCTAGAATTGTTTGCACTTCTTCATAAACTTATGTCATTGTGCTGTCACGTTTTGGGCTGTACCTATACTTCGGCCAATTTGTATGATTGGGTTTTGTTTTTTGTATTAACACTGGCTTGTTAGTGACTTATTTTTGGATCAATTTTTAACAAACCGTATTAAGTAGTAGTCGACGGCTTAAAGCAATCAAAGGGGACGTTTACAAAAAATACAAATATAGTATTTTACTTTTGATGTACATTGAATATAAACAAAATCAATCATAATATTTTGCAATAATATGTTTGCTATAAAGAGTTCTCTTTCACAAAAACATATTATTTTTTCCACCAACATATAATCTCTCGTTAGTGCTTTTAGGGAATCAAAAAATATTTAACTGAAAACTTCAATATTATGAATATACATGTATTTATTATAATATCTGTTTTTAGCGTGTACTCTCATCGCCTGAAGCAAACACTACACTTGAAACCAAAATTAAATATATTTTTGTGTCTGGTAATTTTAAACTTATTACGATGTCTTTTTTCCCAAAACACTTTAAAGACGAATGAATGAATATGAATGATTTATTTTTCATATTTATAATCACTACATGATCAATTTATTATTTCTGATTCTATAATATTGTTTTATAAAATTAAAATGAAGAGAATTTCTTTATTTAGACACTCTACGTAACTTTACTTTGAACGAAATTCTAAACATTTAACAAAGTACTAGAGGCTTACCGCGTTTTCGAACTTTGTTAGAGTTAATACAGAAGTCAGTAAATACACATATGTGACAACCAAAAACTTTGCTCGCTTTTTACCGACTGGGAAAAAGGGAGTTTCTCTTAGACTGTATATGAATAAGATCCTTAGGCCACAAAACATTACTTATTTTCTGATGAACAAAATATGTATATAGATATAATAGGTAACTATTAGCATCTATAGCAAAAGCAAACATATCTGCTAGGTTGCTAACTAGATTTAAATAGTCCCACATTAAATAATACTTACAAAATACATTTAAATACTCCCCTACATATTTCATTTAAAAATCAATCAAGTTTCAGACTTCATATAAATAAGATTGTGTTTTTTGCTGTCGATATTTAAAGTGTCTGATTAAAAATAGTGCCAACGGAAGGTGTGTGGCAGTTTTAATTTGAAATTTCTTACATATTTCCTACAGTATAGCTGTAAATCATACTTCAGACTATAAGTAAAAAAGTACAATTTTTATTTACCTAGCACGTGGTACCTGAGAATGGCCGTCAGTTTAAGCTAGCTGGTAGTTTAAGTTTACTATAGACACGATTATTAGCCTATTATATAATATTTTTTGGCAATTAGAAAATAAGTAAATTATGGTAACACTGGGATTTTGGATAATATTATGTTAAAAATAAGTCATGCGTTATCTTCAGTTAGATTAAAAAGAAATTTGATTTTCGTTGCAACTGGTTAACAAGCTAGGGTTCAGTTCCTGGAACTAAAACATCCCTTAGACTATTCAGAAAATACTATTTCGTATAACATTTCGTACCACGGTTTCTGATATGTTTATTTATAGAAAGTTCCAGAACAAAGAATATATTTGTAGGCTTTATCAAATCTGTTTAAGAAGTTGGTTATTAGGTGTAAGTATGTAAATAAGTTTATCCTTGTAACATATGTAATTATCTCCTATAAATAATTATCCCTTAACGCTAAACTTCGAAACTCCCTTAACAAAAATTATTTTATAAAATATATAACGTTTTTATAATAAATATTTTATCTAAAATACTAACTACCTACACAAGAGAAGTTGCAAAAACTGGTTCTGTAATAACAATATAATATTATAAATTTAAAACAAAATGTATTTTTAAATTTGTTATTTAAAACGGACTCTGACCCGGTGAATCAACGTACATCATGTGAGGGTTAATATGTACTAGAAAAGGTCGTTAGCGGAACTTTGAATGATGTAACTTTGAACATAATCATTAGTGTTTTCTAGTTACAGAAGTAAAACCTCATTTACGTGACAATAAACTAAGTCTAGGACCAACATAGCTTTTATTCTTCTTTTAAAATGGTTTTATTTAGCTTACTTCGTTTCTTTTCTTGGGTTTTTATTGATTGAAATTTGACTTTCTTTCTAACACTTGATTTATTTATAATTGGGTATACGTTTCTTTGTTATATATATACATATATTTTATAATTAATGTATTAAAATTTATTGTAAAGTCAAGATGGCTGTTGATATAAAATAGCGGATAACTTATTTTATTTTATCCCATCAATTGGGTATCAAATGGAAGGACTTGACAAGTAAAATAAAGTGCACTATAAAAAATCAAAATCTAAGATGGCCGCCACTACAAAATATCGGACAATCTACTTTTTTCAATTCGATTACTATGAGTATTCAATAAAATTACTTGACAAGTAGGAGTCATGAGCTTCTACGGTACCTACATAAAATAAATAGAAAAACTAATCACGCAATCGTATACTTAGATGCCAAACTATATCTCTATTTATACTAGCGACAAGTTAATATATGATAAATTAACGGGCTAGAAGTCTTACCATACTGAAGCTTTAAATGAATTAAATTTGATGGTAAATAAAACAAATAACTTAAAAATAAAAAAAATTAAAAAAATTACTATTTTTTTACTTCTATTTCGTTTTTGTGTTGCTAATTAACGATCATTCTCTAATCTCTTGATTGGAACTAGAGAAAATATTTATATCTGTATTTCATGAATCAGATAATTTAAAAACGCAGTTTCAAAATAAAGCTTTTAGAGGTCCAACATCAAACGAAGGAGTTTTATGTCGATGTTTTATAATGGCGTGTAACTTCCAGGGTCTATCCAAAGTATATGTATATTTGCATACAATTTGTTGACCAAAGATAACGTCTTCCGTCTATAAGAAGTACGTTGATATAAATCTAGAGTCATTCCAAAATATTAACGAATATCAACTGATAATATTATGTTAGCAGTAAATCAGAAACTGTGAAAATTTATTACACGAACGCAACCATTAATCCGTTTTGACAAACCACAGATCAACGCTCGTAAATAGATAGATACAAATAAATTAATTTACCGGCTATGGATATTAAAAATATTATATTTTCAATAGATAAGACGACTGGCGATTATTTATCATGCTCTTAAAAATAAGAGTATATAAAAATATGCAGAAATATCAATGTTTCAGTGTTTATAAGTATAAATTTAAGGAGTCATAGCAATATATGAAAAAAAAGCCTTTAATCTAATATTCATGTGAACGCAAACTATAAAATCGAAATGTTATTCAAAACAAAATTTTGTCCAAACATATGGTTTCATAAATGAATATTAGTTGGTAATTTGACAGTTAATTAAAAAAGGATAACAGAACTATTCCATTATATGTACATACATATGTCAAGACTCATGAACAATCAAATATCAC